TGAGTTTGGTTTGCTATGGGACGCGACTAGCAAGCAGACCGCAGCGAGTTTCCATGTAAGCAACTATGGACAACTAAACCATCCATCCTTGGCCTGTTTTGCAGTCCTGTCAGTATACCAAGTTCTGCACCTGCAGCCTCATTTTACAGCAGAACACCCAATTCTAATCCTCCAACTGTGTTCCCAATCCTATGGCAGCGACCTCATCCTAAACTTGCGAAAGCCTGCAATCCCCGTCCTGTCGACCAGGGTCCCATCCCCATCCCTGGCCAGGGCTCCCAATCCCCTCCTTGGTCAAGGTTGCAATCCCCATCCCTCAGACAGGGATCCCATCCCCATCCTCACCCCCGACAGCAATCCCCATCCCAAAAGTAGTGTAGCACGCCTAATCCCTAATCCTCGCCCTGGGCCCCACATCCCATCCTGACGTCGTCAACCCTATTCCCCATCCCGCCTGACCAGTACCTGCCCCCAATCCCCCATCTCTGCAACCCTCTGGTGTAGCCAGCCCTGGGATGCCAGCCCTGAGTCTGTAAAAAACAATCGTCTATAGACCATGTAAAGCGGGCAGGCCACTAGGGGAGATTCTCCGAGTTGTCATTGCGGCTTCATGGCTTTTTCTTACGATGGCGGAATCCCGCTACAGTGCATCCCAAAGTATCCTCGGTGGCATGATCTCACCCAATGATGTGTTGCCCAGACCATTCAGGGGCCCATGATGCCCGACACAACAGTAGGGCAACATCAGACGGCTGGTGGTTTCAATGGTTCAGGGTTTCAGCTTGGCCGCATCATGTTGAGCTGCGTGATATTCTTGTCGCATAAGCTCATAGACAGCATGAACATGCACTTCTCAGGCAGTCGCATGAAAGCCTCAGACGTCCTGGACTTCAAGGGCTGCCATGTTTGGTCGAATACCCTTAGGGTAAAGTCTCCCTTGGGTTTGTTTATGGATACCCGGAGCTGAAGCGCACTGATTGCGTCCTGACAGAGGTCCTTGTGGCACTGGTCGTGCACGAGTGTTAAAGGTGATGAGGTCAGGGAGCTCCTCCATGGACAGAACGAAGGACGGAGGATGCTTTGAGCACGAACTGACTGGAAATTTTGATAAACCTAGACGGCCGTCGCTCGCACGTTCGCGAGTGAAAAGACATATAGACAAGTACTGCATCACAACCTAAACCAGCCCTAGGACGACTCCGATCACGGTTGTCGTTTCAAGTGGCGTTGCTCGGAGGCTGAGGAGAAACAGCAAGCAAGGCATGTTTGCCCATGGTATTTTCCCCTATATATGTAGCCTAGGTGCTGCAGGTTGTAGCAAAACTTGCAGGCAGGGTACCTCGCCGTGTAGGGTGTTGCTGAGGTGGAAAGATGACGAGCTAGTCCTTACATGTACAGTTGAAATTTTTCATGGTCCTGTAAAAAAGGACATGATGCTGGGACATGAAGAAGCCAAAAGGCGTCGCCCTGGAGTCGGAGGGCATCGAACCCCCTGCCTCCCGCACACTGTATGCGGCGCTTAGCTACGCATGCTAAGCGGGCGCTCTACCATTTGAGCTACGACCCCACGACTCCAAGCGTCCAAGAATTGCATTATTTTGTTGGTTTTTAGAGCTGACTTGAAAGTTAACAGCCAAGTGCTCGACGACTGAGCTGAGTAGGGTTCGGGGGTAAAACCACTATGGGGAACGTATTTGCGGCACACAGACGCATGACATGTATTATAGCCAGTTATTTACCAGAGCCCAGGTGGTCGGTGCGGGCCGCCTGCCCCAGGCCTCAGGACCCCACTCAGATAGCCCGGCCTGGCATGTACCACTCCACTACATAACGGATGCCCAGCAGCACCCTTCAAACCCAAATCCAGTCGCCCGCACATCGGGAGGAAGGCCTGAACTCTTTGGGCCCTCTTCCCATGTCGAGCTGTAGCATCATATCACATCACTACACCCGCACGAAAGCACATCACCCGTCCTCCTCCGTTCACTCCTTCATTCCTCACCCCCCACCACTGGATTGCCACCAAGGCAGCGACCCCAGGCAGACCTGGAAGTCACGTTCCACTCGCGCCACGTACTTGCCATCAGCAAACTCTGCCTTGGTCTCTTCCCACAGCGACTCCACGTGCTCGTACACCGTGCCACGCAGAGCCTGCATGTCCTTGCGGCTAAACTTGGCGCGCAGGAAGTCCTTGCGCGCGCGGCTCTCCGTGTGGGGACGGTGTACCAAGAAGCCGTGAGGCGACACGAGCCAAATCGCGCCCGTGGCGTTCATGGCGGCTGCTTGCACGATCTTGTTCTTCCCGTAGCCTCGATACCTGGCGCCAAAGAAAGATGAGGGGTAAGGCATGGAGCTTGGGACTTAAGGAATGTAAATGCTTACAGCAAGTCTGGAAGTTTCAGCGATATGATGTAACAACTCCAACGAGGATCTGATCTGACAGGACGCTACAACCTCAACACGATATCGCAAACAAAAGGTATGTCAACCCATGTGTTCACAAGGAAGGGCCGCAATCTCCTGAGCGGCGGCGATTTCACCACATGGGGCGGCAGGAGCCCATCTTGCTCGGCAAACAGTCGCCACGTTGCGCACGGTACCAACGGCCGCACCTGTAATCATACCATAGCGTGCCCCAACGCCAGCTTATAAACCAGGGCTCGAAGAGCGGCCCGTAGGTAATCGAGTACGCCTCATCCGTCGCAAACCATCGTTCATACTTAGTGGAGTTGTGGCTGAAGGGTGCCTTGGGCCGCATGCGGCGGACACACCTCTTGATTCCCTGTATCACCGCCTTCTTGCCGTCCACAGCAACAGAGTCAGCGTACGAAGTGCCCCCGCAGTGCGTTTCAAAGGCGGGCAGCACGTACACGGCACCACTGCGGCAGGCGCGAGTGTACTCAGCTAGGGTTTGCGGTTCGGCTAGAGCTGTGGAGATGGAAAGTGACGGCACCATGTCCACGTCAATGTTAGCGATAAGGTCCGTGTCTGCCATCAGTCGCGCGTAGTTACGCAGGCTATTGACAGGGTACAAAATTTGTGCGCGTGGATCTGCAAAGAGCTCGTATATAAGGGCGAGGCGCAGCTGGCAGCCATGCCCGTTGTTATTATTTTCCGAGTTGCGGAAGAGTTCGTCTGCGTGCGCGATCATGGCTTCGAGTTTCTGTCGAGAGGTTTCCAACAGCTCAGTCGCCGAGGGGTTGTGGAGCGGTACGTAGAGGGCTGCCGCCAACGGGCCCCCCCATGTGGCGCACTGCGCTTTGAGCTGGTCCAGCCGTTCTGCTGATAGCTGCGTTACCAGCGTCACGGGTATCCCCAGGGACTTGCTGGACCACCATACACGTGCATTGACCAAGCAGCTGGGTAGGTCACTGGTAAAGTGTTCCCAGACTGTTCGCTTGGTAAGGCAGTCCTGCCTTTCGGAACATTTCATCAGGAGGGCTGCATGATCCACGTTTCCATCCACCAAAGCGAGCAGCACGGCCAGGGACGCCCCGACAAGGAGCGGAAAGACAGCCCTGGGACCGTAGCTGGTTCGCATGGCTCACGTCTGGAGAATAGGAGCTAACCAGCAAACTTTAAGTATAATCTGCATGGTGATAGCTCTCCGGTGAGCGATATTAGCTGTCCTTATGTTACGTCCTCTGCCAAACCATCGCGCGTTCGTTACAACAAATCGCACACTAACGACCTACTCAACAAAACAGTGCGAGCGAACTGTTTCAACACTTTTAACGGGTCGGAAGCAGATAGAAAGGTGGAGCCGATGCCGTGCATCACTGCATGCATCACCATCAAATAGAAGAGCGATCAAGAATATCAATTATGATTTCTAACTGTAGCACGATGTCTGATTCAAAGATCAAAAATAGTTATCTGGCACGGCCTTGACTTCTTTGTCCCCCGTCTCGGCAACCTTCCCTAACCACTTTATTGCATGCTTGCAAATGGTGCGCAAAGGCGCTATACTATTTGGTGAGGAACTTAACTCAGCTATAGCTGGCGGGGATTTAAAGCTATCGAGCTGCTGCGAATGCCCTGGTCGCAGGTGTCGGCGCGACGGTTGCAGTGGGCGGTGGCATTGGTTACATCGCCTACCAGTTAAGGAAGTAAGTAATTGCTGATCTAAAGCCAATGGGTCGATTGTTCGAACGATATCGTGTTACCGTTCGATCGTTTCCTTGTGCAGCAAGTACAAACCGGAAGGCATTACTGCCAGCGATGAAGCGAGTCCTTCCACTGTGGAGATCCCAGCACTATCCGTGACGCGGGACACGCCAACAGAGGCTATCGCCTCTGATACGACACCCACGGACAACGTTGCAGCTGTCCTGAAGGGAAATGCGGCTCTACTTAACGAGCAGGTTCGTGCGGGATTTGGGTTAGCAACGGATGGCCAGAGTCTCGGTTACCTCAACGCCGCTGCTGCTTTCTGCCTGCTAGCGCTTGGACTGCGCTCCCTTCATGCAGCAGCAGAAACTTTCATCCATCCGCTGATACTTTTACGACGCTACAGTGATGCTTCAAGACCAAATGGGTTCACCTTCTGTTACGGCGAGCGAAGCGCGCTGGTGCGTGCGCGTCGAACACGAGCTGCCCCCCTGTTGCTTCCGCGCTTTGCGCCTAATCTCACCGTCGTTTTGTACTACCTTGCCCCTCCCCCCCACGAATTCCCCGACCCCGCTTCTCTCGCAAAACTCGGTACCCCTCATTCCACTGTACCTCTTTCCGCATCGTCGTCTCCTGCAACTCATCTTCCTTGCTATTGCACAGCCACTCATCCTCCTTCCAACCTGGCGGCGCCATATCCTCGGGTTCCTCGCATCACCTTCCTATCCTCTTTGCCCTCCTCTTGGAGAATCTCTGGGCTTCCCTCCTATCGGTTATCCTTGATGTTTTGCTAGAGCCCTGTACTTGACTTATTTTGCATGCATTGCTCCACGTCTTCCCTTCTTTCATCCCGTTCTTCGCCACCGGGACCATCGGGCTACTAAAAGTGTTTTCGATGAAGTTGCCACATTTCTTTCTTTCTTTTCCACCTCATCCGCTTTGCATCAGGATCGGGCCCTGGTCTCCCAGCTGCTGGACCTGGACCAGGCGCACCTCTTTGAGGGTTGGCCAGAGCTAGGTGAGGGGCCGAGTCAGGAAAGGAACAAAGGCACTCTGAGCAATCCAGGAGGTGCCCCGCTGCTGATTGGCATGGGGCCAGGACTGAACTGCATACTCTCTGAGGCACCTCTGGCATGCTCCCTCTATGTTCGCATGGAATGAATGTATGGCCGATTATAAAGGGAAGCGCAGCTGGGGTGGAGGGAGGGGGGGAGAGAGGAAGGGCCATGGGAGAAGGTCAATGGAAGCCACCTAATCATTCATTTCGTCCAGGTCACACTTCCAAGTACTGCTGTGCTGTATGGGCCAAAGAAAGCTACGGTATGGCGTGACAGTCGGTCATACATAGGACGCGCTACTCGGCCTATTGTGCCGCGTTCCGGGAAAACACCTGAAGTCATTAATCAGGCGCTAGGGGGGTTTGACGGGGTTGAGGATCTGGGATACATTTGGGTAGGAAACATGGAGAAAGAACTAATGGAAAGAGGAATACCGGGACCCGGAAATAGAGGAACAGAGGGAAAGAGTGGCTTTCAGGGTCCTGATTCACATTGCTGACAGATCCGCAGGCGGAGGAGGGTCTGGGTTCTGCGGCCTGATATCCTATGCCTTCCCACCATCTTCTGACTTGTCTTGAACCTGCTCCTCCCTAGCCTGCTGCTTACCCCACTGCCCGCTCTCACGCAGGCATCGATGATGAGGGTAAGCGGCGGCTGCTGGCACAGCTGCTGTTGCTGGACGCCAGCTACCACGGGGGCCTTGCGGCGTACGTGAGTAACGCCAGGAAGCTGTTGCAGGACTCCAGAGATGGTGAGGAGTGGAGGGGAAGCGTCTCGCTGTATGTGCTGAAGTGGCTGTTGTCAATGGGCGGAATTGCCAGGCGACGGAGGTGGGGTGGTGAAGGGGTCTGTGGGTAAGAAATCGGCATTGCTAGCCAAGCTCTGTGATTATCACCCACTCGATCTGCTGCCGGTAACCTGCCCGACATCCCAGGTGTTAACTCGTTCGAGGGCTACATCCCGTCCGTCCCAACGGGCGCCACCCTGGACTTCGCCTCTCCCGAGTTCATGGCCCTTGAGGGCGAGGGCCTGCGGGAAGCGGGACAGGCGGCGTTCGTGCTAGTGGCAGGGGGCCTGGGCGAGCGGCTAGGGTACTCTGGTGAGCCGGTGCGGAGGTGGGATCATGAATGATTCGGGAGGTCGGGGGAAGAGGACGGAATCAAGGTGGGGTGTTGAGGAGAGGCAGTGCGAGAGCCTGGATGAAGGCGAGGATGGAAGGACGAAAGGAGGAGGGAGCGGTTGTCGGCTGAAACCGCTTGCAGGGCGCCGCTGCTGGCTGCTAGGGGCTGGGAGCAGGCAGGGCACCTGGCGAGGCCACGCACATGATTTGACGCATGATGTTGATGGTGACCGGCGGAGCCGACCGTGGGTGGCAGCGGAGGGAAGGGGGGGGCGCCCAAAAAAGGGAGGGTGGCCATGTCAAGTTGGGTAGTAACATTTAGGAGAGAGAATCTGCGGCAGTTGGACAGGCGGTCCACGGAGGGAGGACCAGGGGGAAGCAGTGTCGCTTACCCCTACTACGAGTAATGATACGATAACCTAGCCTTGCTAGGCTAAACTGCAGTCTTCCTTATCTCCTGCTAACTTGTTCACCTGCCGTCCTTTCCTTACTTTCTTCCCTTCCCTCTCAGGCATTAAAGTGGCTCTTCCCTGCGAGTCTGCCACGTGCACCCCCTTCCTGGGTCTGTACATCTCCTCCATTTTGGCGTTGCAGGCCAGGTCGGCGGGTGGGCGGCGCCTGCCACTTGCCATCATGACCTCGGACGACACTCACGGCCGCACGCTGGAGCTGCTGAGGAGGAACAAGTACTTTGGGATGGAGGAGGACCAGGTGGGGGGATAGGCGCCTTCGGGGAAGAGTTGGGATGGAGGCGGAACGGATTCGGAGGTCCTGCTTTCCCAGGACGTCACGCCTGTGGGACGGCGGGAGGGGGCCAGGCGTGTGGGGACCGCAGCACTTTCTTACTCCCGGCTAACATGAGAGATTCGCTTGAGCGGAATGGCGAAGCCAACAACCCGGGGGAAAAAAAACGAAAGGGAGTGCATTCGGACGCGGCGTGAGCCGCGAGCTGAAAATGGCGCATGTGGATCGCCCACCCATCTACACCCAACCTTCGGTAACCAAAGCGGCGTTGTGATCTGCGCAAACGGTTTGGGCGGGTAGTGGCAGGTGTGGACGATAGGCGAGAGATAGGGAAGAATGGCCCATGAGCAAACGGCACAACCGACAGCCTGTGTGAGAAGGGAAGGGAGAGGGAAAGGAGCTGGACGGCCGGACAGTGTCTCGACGGCCACTTTCTCGTGTCGTCCTCAAATTGGACTTCCTCACGAACCGAACCGAACCGAACCGAACCCGACACTGGCTCTGATCTTGGTTGCAGATTACGTTGCTCAAGCAGGAGAAGGTGGCCTGCATGATTGACAACGCCGCCCACCTGGCTTTGGAGCCGGCCGACAGGTTCGCGGTGCAGACCAAGCCACATGGGCATGGTGACGTTCACATGCTGCTGGCCAAATCGGGACTGGCGGCGCAGTGGCTGCAGTCGGGACTTAAGTGGGTTTGCTTCTTCCAGGTGTGTGTGTGTGAGAAGGGGGGGGGTTCGGCTGGCTGATACTGACTGGGTGAGCACCCGCGCTTGGCCCGTTATGTGCTTGGCTCTGGACTTAGCAACTGGAGCCAAGGCACTTAATTCCCCACATTGTCATCCGCTCGTAAGCCCAATCGTCTTCCCGCTCGCTCGAATCAGGGGGCTTGTCCTGCCCTGACGCGTCCCGGTCGGCCCTCTCCCCTCCCCTCCACACTGTACTGCACATCAGCAGTGCTGTTTCTGCGGTGTCCTGCTTATGACAATTCCCTCTTCTCCCAACGCCCGATCCCTAGGATACCAACGCGCTTGTGTTCCGCGCGCTGCTGGCCGCCCTGGGTGTGTCTGCCCGCAACGACTTTGACATGAACAGCTTGGCGGTGCCGCGCAAGGCACGGGAGGCCATCGGCGCCATTGCCCGCCTCACCAGGCCTGATGGCTCCGCACCTCTGACCATTAACGTGGAGTACAACCAGCTCGACCCGCTGCTGCGGAGCACCATTAGCAAGGAGGGAGATGTCAACGACGAATCGGGTGAGCAAGAGCGTAATATATCTAATAACCATCAAGTACTCCTGACTGCCCCCTCCATTGCACGTCGTATTCGCCCCCTGCCGCACCTCACCACACCTTTCCCGTCCTTTCTCAAGGCTCCCCACCTCGGAACGTCTGAGAGGAACTGGGGGCTCCTTTTAGTTCACACCACACCCTCCGGTCTCTGACCCCTGCTCCCGCCCAGGCTACTCGCCCTTTCCCGGGAACATCAACCAGCTGGTCCTGAAGCTCTCGTCCTACGTGCCCCAGCTGGCCGCCACCGGTGGGGTCATCTCGGAGTTCGTGAACCCGAAGTACAAGGACGCCACCAAGACCGCGTTCAAGAGCAGCACCCGCCTGGAGTGCATGATGCAGGTGGGGATGCGGGCGTAGGGTTTGGAACGGTACGGCATGTGGACTAGGAAAGAGGAGGCCTAACCGTGTGGACACGGCCTGCATGCGAATGGCTATAAGGAGACGGGGTCGGTGGCTGCCAACCGGGCGTTTTTGAAGTTTGTTGAAGTAATATTGGGATCAGGGGAACGACGACGCATGGCAATGTAACATCGCCAGCGCACGGCGATCTTCCGATTCCTCGATCACCGCGGGAGGAACGTGTCGACGCCGATTATTCCGGCCATTGGTATGATTGGCAGAATCAAAACGCAAAACCCGCAATATGTGTTTTTTGTAGCTCCCTGTAGCTCGCCATACACGCATTTCACATCCCTTTTTCACATCTTCCGGGACCGATCTCCAACCAGAATCCCCAACCTCCCCGCGCTCCGCGCTCCCACAGGACTACCCCAAGGCGCTACCCCCGACCGCCAAGGTGGGGTTCACCACCATCAAGCAGGTGCGGATGCTAGGTGGGCAATGGGGCACCGCTTGGCGGGGAGGGGTGCTCCTTGGGGGTGACGTGAGCGACGGCTATATCGTCACTCTTGTGGGGTTGTTGAGCTTAGCAGCATTAAAAGGGGGAATAGGTGTCCTTTCCTTGGGGGGGATGGCATTGTCCTGCACGTCTGCGCATCTGCTCCTACGCTCTCCCAATCCTAGCACCCCTACCCGTCTGCCACTTTGCTTCCTCTCCCACCCCACCTGCCGCTTTGGACTCCCGCTGTGGACTCCGGCAGTTGCGGCTTTTTGGAAGTCGGCAGCCGACCTTTTGTCTTGCGTCATATGACTCCCAACCTGTCGCTCCTGCCCCCGCAGGTGTGGGCCAGCTACTCCCCTGTCAAAAACTCCCCTGCGGATGCGGCTGCCAAGTTCAGGGAGGGCAACCCCACCCACAGCGCCACTACGGGTATGTGGAGCGGCGGATTTCGGGATTGATGCGGTTGCGTCAGGGTATGGGTGGTGGACGTGGTCTGTGTGTACTTGGGCCCTCGTGTAACACGCCCGGCGTGGATAAGCTTTTAATGTGCTGCTTGCGTCACGTATTGTTACCGTACGGCCGTTTGCGTATCGTTTCTTACTGAGGGGCTGGTATGTGGTCACGGATGTAGCTCAACCCCTCATGAACCCCCTTCACCATCGTGCACCAGCCCCGTCCTAAATCCTTGATATATGCTGGACACCCATGCACGCTTGCGCAGGCCATTTGTATTCCCCGCTTTCGGCTTCTGTCGCGGCAGGGTCAAGAAGGGGACTGCTGTATTTCCAAATCCTTGATAAATGCCATCCCACTCCCTGACTGCATCTGTCATGGGGAATCTTATGACCAGCTGCCTTGTCATTAGAATTCCTTCGGTTGAAGTTTATTCCGCCATAACCAGTTGCTTCCCACACCGCCACACGTGCGCGGCTCCCAATCCCTACCCGCAGGCGAGCTGGACATCTACAAGGCCAACTGTCTATCCCTGGCTGAGGCAGCGGGCCTGGTGGTGCCCTCCCCGCTGCAGACCGCCACCTTCAACGGCATCACCACGGAGCTCTACCCCCGGGTGGTGCTGTCACCCGCATTTGCGCCCTCGCTGGGGGAGCTCAAGGTGGGGCGGGGGAGAGTGATAGGAAGGGGTGTAGCTGGGGATTTACTGATGACTGGCTGCGTTGGGTGGTCCATGCGGTGGCTGTTGTGAGATATCATGGATGGACCTTTGACACGGAGACGGAGCGGACGCCGCGGGGTCTGTGGGCTGGTATAACGATGTCGTTGTTTTGGTGTTGGATGAAGACAGTCAAGGCAGCACGATTGGGCACATGTCCCTAGAGAGTTATCCTCATTGGGCTTCTCTGTCCCCTCTCTTGGGCATCTTCGGTCAAATGCCGTTTGCTGTCCCAAACAACATTTCCACTGCTTTACACTCTCTCTCCTCTCTTTTCCCTGGACCGTCTCCCTTTCCCGTTGTTTCGCGAGTCCACTGCACCTTGCTCCTAGCCGGTCTCCCCTTACCCGGCCCCTCCCGCACGCCGGCGCCCGCACACCCCGCAGTCCAAGGTAGCTCCCGGCTCTATCTCCCTGACCCCTGGGTCAGTGCTGGTGCTGGACGGCCCTGACATCTCAGTACGCGGCCCTCTGGTGGTTGTGGGTGCCCTGGTGGTGCGGGCGGTGGCTGGGGCAGTGGTGGAGCTTGGGCCCCTGCAGGTGGACAACAGGGGCTGGAGCTGGGAGCCACTGGCGGAGGGAGAGCCGGCCAGCGAGGAGGAGCGCATACGGTGGGGCCGGGTTGGGTGGCTGGGTTAGGGTGGCTGGGTTAGGGTGGCTGGGTTAGGGTGGCTGGGTTAGGGTGGCTGGGTTAGGGTGGCTGGGTTAGGGTGGCTGGGTTAGGGTGGCTGGGTTAGGGTGGCTGGGTTAGGGTGGCTGGGTTAGGGTGGCTGGGTTAGGGTGGCTGGGTTAGGGTGGCTGGGTTAGGGTGGCTGGGTAAGGGTGGCTGGGTTAGGGTGGCTGGGTTAGGGTGGCTGGGTTAGGGTGGCTGGGTTAGGGTGGCTGGGTTAGGGTGGCTGGGTTAGGGTGGCTGGGTTAGGGTGGCTGGGTTAGGGTGGCTGGGTTAGGGTGGCTGGGTTAGGGTGGCTGGGTTAGGGTGGCTGGGTTAGGGTGGCTGGGTTAGGGTGGCTGGGTAAGGGTGGCTGGGTTAGGGTGGCTGGGTTAGGGTGGCTGGGTTAGGGTGGCTGGGTTAGGGTGGCTGGGTTAGGGTGGCTGGGTAAGGGTGGCTGGGTTAGGGTGGCTGGGTTAGGGTGGCTGGGTTAGGGTGGCTGGGTTAGGGTGGCTGGGTTAGGGTGGCTGGGTTAGGGTGGCTGGGTTAGGGTGGCTGGGTAAGGGTGGCTGGGTTAGGGTGGCTGGGTTAGGGTGGCTGGGTTAGGGTGGCTGGGTTAGGGTGGCTGGGTAAGGGTGGCTGGGTTAGGGTGGCTGGTGCTGCCGTGGGCGCTGCTGGTGCGGTTAGAAAGGCGGGGGTTTGTTAATCGGGCCGAACCGGAGGAGTGACGTATGAGCTGCTTTGTGCAATGGTTGTGTGGGGAAGACATTGAGTTCTTGGGCTTATCTGCGAGGCCAGTGACCTTAAGGGGGCGGAAGGCTTCTTATGCCATTTCTCATGTTGGTGTTTGGGTTGTTGCAGGGGCTTTAAAGTGGTACGCCATGAGACTATGGAGCTTGTATACGATAACCCGGGGACATACGTTGTCCCAGCACATGTTCAGCAGCCGCAAGCAGCCAAGGCGGAAGGGGCACCGTCGACGCCTGAGCCAGAAGCGGACCCGGCCACAGAGGCGGAGGAGGTGGAGGCTGCGCCAGCGGCCGCAGAAGCACTGGCGGCGCCAGCCACGGTGGATGAGAATGATGAGGAGGACGACGCGTCTGCCGAGGAGGTTGCAGAGGCGCCTGCGGTGCCCGCTGCAGCCGAGGCTGCTCCTCGCCCTCCAACAACTCAAGCAGCAACTCTCTTGGCCTCGTCATCGGGCTTGTCACCCGCAGCCAAGCCGTTTGTGCCTGGCAGCAGCTTTAATGCTAGTTCCAGCAGCGGTGTGGCCGCAGCGCCTGCAGCTACAACGCCAGTGACGCCGGTTGCCGCGGGGAGAGCGCAACCATTGGCGGCATCCCCACCATCCGGTAGCAAGTCGAGCAGCAAGAAGAAGAAGTCAAAGGGCGGGAAGGGGTCGGCAGTCGCAAATGGTGGGAAGACATAGAAATCGTAGAGATGCCATTTAGAGCTCCAGAGCTGTGGCCTCAGGGTTCCGAAGAGCCAAGAGGTTTTATATTTTTCTCGTAATAGAATCTACCTCCTCGGGTGGAGGAGAATCCAGACCCTGTTTTGGGTTGGCTAACCCCACGTTTTCAATTGGTTGAACGACTTGAGGAACACTAGTTCCTGATGAATGTTGGCATCCCGCGCTGCAATAAACGTGCACATATACGCTGCATCAATAGTTGGGAGTTTTGATATAGCGGTGGTAAGGGTCTGGCGCAGAGCGTGTGAACGTATGCACGAGCAGAACGCTAGATAGGAAGTAGTTTAGGGGCTGCAACGTCCAGCGCGAGGATCGTATAGATACCTTCCGAATGTTTCCAGCGACGCCCCGTTTTGGTCATCTGTTGGCCGTTTTGCTGCCGGGCTGTAGCGATATCGTATAGACCGTGAACACATATTGTTGACCAAACGGCGGAACGACGACACTTTGCAGCCTTCTTAAAATACTGAATGGCATGTATACAAATATCTTGTAACGAGCGAGGTTTGCTGTCAGCGACGGCTTAGGTTTAACCTCCGCAATTTGAGATTGTCCGCGTTTAACGAAATCTCACTTAAATTAGTAGGACGTTCCGGCTATAGTTTTATGGCTACGGTGAAGGTGGCTGATTTGTGACCGGTCACAGGTTTATCCAGCAAGGGCTCTTCCTTCGCAAAGGCGGCTATGTTAACGACTGAACGTCTTGTAACACACCGTTATTGAGCGCACCGCTCGCTCATTATATCAACTCTGTCCAACTGGCAATGCCGGCCAATCAATGCTGCTGCCGCTGCGACACCACGCGGCAGCGGCAGCTTCGCGCAAAAGCAAGCATTCTTGCTTGCATGTTCGTGACGTTCGTATCCTTACGACTATCAGCGGCTGCAGCAGCGAGGGATAGCCCGCAAAGTTTCGAGGGTGAGCCTGGGAACGCAGTCCATCGAAGCAAAGACAGAAGCAAGGACAGACTCCACAGCCCGCCCGCCGCCGTCAAATTTTCATCTCCCCATCCCCGCATGCCTCCCGCTGCCAAATTTTTGCCGTCCAAATTCCCACGCAAACTCTCCTTCCGCCTCGTAGGTACCCTGACCATCTTGTCCAGCGACATGCCCGACAGCCCTGTCTCCGGAGCCGTTGATGGGGGCAGCGACATGATCTACTTCCTCCACCAGCCTGAAAGCCTTATGCTGTACGACCTCGACATGCCCCCCGGTGTCGTACACGGCACGCTTGCATCCGGCGAGCGGGTCATCGTCAGTGGCCGGCTCACATCCCTTGACCGAATCCAGGTGGAGTTCATTGCGGTAGCGCCCCCCGAAACTGTTATCGTGTCGCGCTCTTTCACAGCGGCGGCGGTGGACGCCGGCTCGGTGGCGGCGGCAGCCGCCGCCAATGCGGCGGAAGCTGCAGCAGCAGCCGCCCGCGCCGCCGCCACTGCGGCAGCGTTTGCAGGGCAGGTCCAGACGGCTGCGTTGGTGAGTATGAGTAGCAGCGCAATTGTTGCGCCGTCCGATGGCCCTATCAAGCCAGCCATGGCGGCAGCGCTGGCGGCGTCTCTGACCTTCACGCGAGTGGTGACGGAGGTACCGGTGTTATTCATGATTCTAAGCGTCTGCGACTACGGACCTGCCGTCACGAAGCAGGTGGGGGCCGGCCGTTCCCCGCGATAAGGCGGAAGGCGAGCATGCCTGGAATAAAACGCCGAGGGGGAAGTGCAGAGGTTTTTGCTGAGGATGAAATGGAAAGGGTGGCTTGAATGGGAGCACGGGAACCACATCGGACAGGGCTTCAGAGGTGGGGACTAATCAGCCAACTGGAGTGCTAATCCTTGGGGTGCTAACAACGGCCTGTCCAGGCCAGGCCCTATCAGCCTTGTAGCTGTCCGATGGGGAGGAAAGGGGTGGACTTTGGGCTGTCAATAGAGCCTGAGTTCCAGGGCGTTCCAGGCCACACGAAACCCTCCACGCCCTGCTCACCCCCCCCAGGAGCTGGAGCGCGTCCTGTTCGCGGGTCCGGGCAGTGCCAGCCTCACATTGGAGGGCTATTACTACGAGTGCAGCCGAGGCAAGTAAGTGGCGGAGGAACGGGGCGGGCTGCGGCTGGGAGGTGCGGAGGGACGCGGTCGTTGGGGATGAAACCGGTATGCGGTCCTGAGTCCACCAGGCCAAAGCCGCATGGTATGTATGTATATATGTATGTATGTGTGAGATGATGCATGTGAAGGGAAATCTTGTAGAGTTTACACCTTTTGGAGTTGCACGGAGCCGGGGTGCCGATAGCTATGTTGTCGATTTGTGTGTGGACGGGCAGCCGGGTTTCCCCTAGGGGGTGCGGAGGTGGATGGGTGTGCTGTGTTGGAGGGGTGCACATCCCCTCAAAGGTGGGTGGGCGGCCAGATCGGGGTTATGATTCCCCGCTGTCTGGCCTCCTACATGGGATTTCCTTAGGTGGGATTTGGCGGACTGCTCCTGCTGACCGGCTGTTCACCGGGTCTCGTCCTCCTCCGCCGCTCCCTCCCCTCATCTTTGACTCGCGCTACGGGGCCCCGCATTCCCTCCTCCCACAGAACTTCCCCAACAGATCATCACCCCACTAAAGAGCCCAATCCAATCCTCTTAAGACCATTAACCCCTAAATACTCCCCCCCTCTAGCAGCTTCCCCCCTGGCAGCAGCTTAACTCGTTCGTGGTTCGTTTTTCCCTCCCTCTCCCCCTCCCCCTCCCTTTACTCAACCTCTCTCTCCCCCCCCCACACACACAGATTCCATACTGCGTATCGCCCCCCTCCCTTTACCCTTCATCCCCCGCTCAGGGCCTCCATGAGCCGCAGCAACAGCCTGGTGGTTGGTCCCGTACACGTGCCGTGCAACTACAACGGCTCCTACCGCTTCAGCAGCAGTTCGTGCAGCTACCGAGACGCCTGGGGCTGGCAGACCTGGGCTCAGCGGCACCTGGACGGCGACATCGACGTCTCCCGCTACCGCCACAGAGTGGCGGTGCTGCCGCAAAAGTTCACGTCCGACGCCGGTTGTCCCTGGATCGGACTGGGGACCTTGGGCCCCGTGGAGAAGGGCGCCGACGGTTCGTATATCTCCTCCATGGCCTGGGTGCAGGGCGAGAGCGTGGGCGACGTGATGGCGTTTATGCACGAGCTTGGGCACAATTTGTACCTCCACCACGCCAACGGCAGCAACGGTTGCGAGTACTGCGACTGGAGCAGCGTGATGGGCGGCTGCTGTGCTGTGCGGTGCCATAACGCGCCGCATAACTGGCAGCTAGGGTGGGGTGCCCCGTTGGCAGTGCTGACGGCGGCGACGATGCCAGTGGGGGTGTTTCTGTACTTCAACTTGCCGTCGCAGTCCGCCGCCGACGCCCACATATTGTGGTTGCAGCCGGACTGGACAACGGCAGGTCGGCGCGACCAAAGCTTGCCAGTGTCGTATTACATATCGTACAGGATTGACAGCGGCCGGTACGACGCCGCCATTCCGGAGTCGTATTTGTACTCCACAAACGTGTATTACTGGGACGGCCCCAGCCAGACGTCGGCGCTGCGCACGCGTCACGTGGCGTCGGTGTTCACGGGGGAGGAGTACCGTTGCGTGCGGGAGCGGTGGGTTCTACGGCAGGTTTCGCATGGCGTCGGCGGCGGGCGCGTGGGGTTGTGTCGGTTTAATGAGGAGCGCGAGACGTCATGTCACGATGGTCTGGATAATGACTGTGACGGCTTGCTGGATAGCGCCGACCCAGACTGCTCCGCGCCGGCGCCGCCGCCGTCGCCGCCACCGCTGCCGCCGCGTCCTAGGCCGCCGCCCTTCAGCGACTACGGCGTGCAGGACTACGCGCCGCCTTGGCTTTTCGAGGACAGCAGCTACCAGGCGCCGTCGGTAACTACGAGGCCGCGACCGCCGCATCCTGCATCACCGCCGCCGCCGCAACCGCGGCCGTCGCCGCCGCCAAGCCCGCGACCGCCGCCAAACCCCACGTCGCCGCCACCGGTGATGCCACCGCCACGCGTGTCGAAGCCACCGTCGCCAAGGAAGCCACCGTCGCCCAGTCCGAAGAAGTCCCCTCGTCCGCCGCCGAAGCTTCCGCCGAACGCACCCTCACCGCCACCGCTGCCATCCTCACCCCCACCCTCACCACTATCGCCATCTCCACCGTCAAGCCCACATCCGCCGCCACCCCTACCACCTTCATCCCCACCACCTAGGCCGCCATCGCCCAGGCTATCCAAGCCAAAGCCGCCGCCGCCAAACCCACCCCTGCTGCCAAGCCCGCCGCCGCCAAGCCCGCCGCCGCCAAGCTCGCCGCCGCCAAGCCCGCCGCCGCCAAGCTCGCCGCCGCCAAGCCCGCCGCCGCCAAGCCCACCGCCGCCAAGTCCGCCGCCGCCGCCAAGTCCGCCGCCGCCAACCAGCCCACCGCCATTCAAGAAATTATCACCTCCCAAGAATCCGTCTCCTAGTCCGCCGCCTCAGCCGCGTTCGCCCAAGAGAAAGAGCCCGCCGCCCCTAGATCCGCCTCCCCCCAGCCCACCGCCGCCACCGCCACCGCAGGGATACCGGAAGCGCCCGCCGCCCCCTCCCAGCCCGCCGCCGCCCGCCGCCAAGACTCGACGGCGTCTTGCCTTTCAACTAGAGCGCAGCCAATTGCTGTGAGAGGGAGTAATTAGGACGGCATGGGGTCCGAATAGAGTGAATTGGGAGAGGGAGGAGGTGTTGGGGGAAGAGGAACCACACCAACGTCGAAACACACACACGTGTGTGTTTGTCTACATTGGAATCGAGGGCGTGTGTCGCTGTGCATTTACATGTATCTGTGCGTGTACGGGACGCACTATAGGTGTAAGGAGAGGGCTCTGAGGAGGAATCGATCTGGGTCTTGCGCAATTTATGTTCATTGCTCAACACCTGGCGGAATGTTCCGCGGAGGTCGATAAACCGATGATGATGGTGATGATGGTGATGATGATGATGATGATGATGATGATGATGATGATGATGATGATGATGATGATGATGATGAATCCAGAGCAACTACACCAGTCAGAGTAGTAGCGGCAGCAGCATTGTGTGTTTTAGTGGTGTGTGTGGTGTGGATGAGATCGGGAGGGAGCGTACGTTGGGGCCGCATGGTCGTATGTGGAGTTGCGTTAAGTGGGGGGCGGGCGGGAGGGGGGGGGCGGGAGGGCGGGACATGTGGAAGGAAGGGCGGGCTCCCTGGCAACAGCACCTTGGGGGCAGAGAGGACCGTGTGGATAGTTTGTGTTTGCCGGTGGGGGGCCGCCAGCAATCCGCCAGCAATTCGGTATAGGAGGTCACATCAGGGAGACCAAAACCCAGCTAAGGGCGCGACTGAGGACGTTCAATCATACATGTGTATTTGCCTGTCGCCGTTGTCGTACAGACACGCACTTCAACCCGTGGCCTAAAACCCCGGCGCTCCAGTACTGTGCACTCTGTACAGCAGGGGCCCGTCGGAGAATGGTGACGCCGTCCGGTGATCATCATTATCTCGAGCCTCCTGGCAAAGAGGGTGGGTGTTCCTGCTACCGCAGCTGCATTCATCGAGGTGGTGGGTGGGCGGTTGGTTGGCGGTTGTTGGGAAGCCTGTCCGCGGGGGTGACTTCCTCCACAGGCGGTCTCCATCAGCGGGCTGTTGGTTCCATTGGGTTAGGGGTTGAGTTTGGCAGGTGGTTGGCGGGAGGTCTTTGGCGAGAACCGGCAACGTAGTTTAGTGTAGATGGAAAGGGTCTTGCTAAGGGAGAGGACGGGAGCCTAAGGTTGGCGCGTAATGTCTGAGGAATCGTGAATTGTGATGTTAGGGGAGGAGGGGCCAGGCTTTTGGAGTTTTGGTAATGGAAGAGGTTGGTGGCTAGCAAAGGGATGTCATACGTCTACTTGCGCGCCATAGAACGTCGGACGGCACATCTTGACGCGCCCATAGCTGCGAGGTGCAATCATGGGCTTAGTATAGCAGCCCTACATGCGATTGCTGCAGCTATGCTGTGATAGCAATAATTATGACCGCAACGACTCTCGGACCCGCGAGGCTATTTATTGTTGCCTCCGTATTGATTTACTTAACAATTTTAGGTCAATTTACCACAGATATTATTTATGCCTTATACCATAGCGCGCGTTTTCCTTGCGGTGTAGAGTGGTAGCTAGTCGACCGTTGTTCGTTTTCTTGGGAATAACGTCTTGGAAAACCGCTCTGCAGTGTCCACGTAGATGGGAGCGGACTCATTGTTAGTATATACGCAAAAGGTGACCTATTGTTTGTAATGCATGATCAAAAGGTGACCTATTGTTTGTAATGCGGCCGCTAAGCCTTTCGACCCTTCGAGTGCCTAACGCGCGAACCAACCATTACTACCCGCGACATCAAGCAGCATTGCTGCTTTCCGCTCCTTCAAATTCCCTAATCAATCAAACTCCAAACTTTACGAGATCTAAGGTTGTGGCGCAAGCCAGCAGCGCGGGAATGGCCTCAACGGTGTCTGACATTTCGTCGCAAGCGTACTGGTTTAGTCGCAGCGGACGCTACGACGAGCTGCTAGTCGATGGATCTGGAGATAACGTTGCAATTCCGGTTCAGGCAGTGGCGCAGGTGAGCGACAGAGTTCAATTTGCTCCTTTTAGATGCTCTCCTTGGCATCCCACCACCACGCACGGAAGCGACAATCTCACAACCATATCGGGATTGAAAAGCCGTGGCAATGGACTCTTGTAACCCACCCTCGCCCCAGTTCCGGGCATACCCGTCCTGCACATCTCGATCCCGTCCAGATGTTCTCGACCAGCTTGCCTTACCGCCCTCGCAATATGCTGGCCACAGTCTTCCGTGTGCAGTTGACCCCAGTTGACCCCGCGCCCCGCTGCATCCCGCACCTCGCCGACCTCTGTGACGCCGCGTTCTCTCTCCCCCGCTGTCTCTTACCGCACCTTCGCCTCATCCGCGTCACATCATTGGCCTTCCTTGAACCGCGCCCCAGAGCCCGGCGCATCCCTTCCCCTTCCCCTGACGGCACCCCTGTACGGCAGTCCGACCTGGGTCCCCTGCTTACCTCCCTGGAGGCCCCTCATCGCTGCTGGGCCACTACCAGCAAGTTCACGGCTAAGAGCGGGGAGATGTGTCTGCTGCCGGACCCGCAGGTGCGTGTATGCGCATGTACATCTGTATATACGTGCGTATACATAGGTCAGGCACTACTCCCCCAGAGGTTCCGGGATCGAGACCTGTCAGCGTCGAAAATCCTTCCGATGGTGGAAGGTAATAGTGCCCCTAGTTGATGACGGTGGTGGCCTGGGATAAAGTTGACTCGCGAGTCGATCAGGAATGGAGCTGGGCCGCCGTCGACCCGGGAGATTCCGTTGGATGCTGGTGGTGGGTGCGGAACCTGAGCGATCCACTGAGAAGTCGGCTAGGTTGACTGGATGAGGGTGCCCCGAAATACCGGGGAAGGCAGGGTTTCGCCAGGTAGCGGCCACGGGCGAAGATATGAACCCTGCCCTACACATCATACGCATATATATGTGTATGCATATATACATACATATGCACATATACAATGTTTATGCATATATATATGCTTATGCGATATATACGATTTATACGATATATGCTCTGCTAGGGGGGTAGCTGCCGCTACGTGAGCCCACCAGTGCGCAGCACAGCTGATGGCGTGTGTGTTTTGTGTTTTTTTTGTGTTTGTGTGTGTGTGTGTGTGTCACACCAGATGTGCTGTACGAGGTTTGCCTGGTCCCCGCGGGGGGTAGAGGCGGCCGCAGCACTCCTCCCCGTCCGCTGCCCCTTTTGAGGAAATGCTTCGTCCCCCGAGATCCATGTACTTCTACTGACCCACGGGTCATTCGATCCATGATTCCAGGGCGGCCTGTCCCGGGTGCTGCTGGGTTTGGGCCCCAGCCCCTCCTCCGTCCCCTGGCCGTACGCCGTACTTGCCAAGCTACCTGGGGGGACTTACCGACTTGCGCAGTCGGACAGCGGCGGCGCTGACGGCGCTGACGGCGCTGACGGCGCTGTTGCTGAAGCGGCGGAGCGGGCGACCCTGGGGTTCTTGCTGGGGCACTATGCTTTCGAGCGTTACAAGGGCCCTAGGGGGCCCAGGGGGGTTGCGGCGGCGGCGGCGGCGGAGAGGCGCGGTGGGGGCGAGGAGCCCCGAGGGGGGGAGGTTGGTGTGGAGGGCGCGGAGGGCGCGGAGGGGGAGCCCAAGGCGCGGTTGGTGTGGCCGGCGGGCTGCCGCAGGTGGGGGGGTTGCAGCACCCGGGCGGTATTGAGCCCCCGGGCAGCTAGGTGTGTGGGTAGGTGGGTGGACCTGCTGTGGACTGGGGGCTTGACGGCCAGCTAGTTTTGCTCACCGGGTGGTCGGGGGTGGGGACCCTCCCTGGATAGATGGCGGTGGCGGTGGCGGCTGAGAGAGGAGCAGCCGGCTTTTCCAGCGGCCCAGAGGCTCACACCCCCTGTCTCTGGGCTCCGTATTCACCCGTACATGACGTACTGCCTTACTGCCGTATATTTTCCCTTTGCGCCTTTCGGACACCAACAGACGCGCTTGGTGTTTGCCCCGATTGCCGTACTGCCGTATCCATCCTCCGTACTCCTCCTCCCCTT